CTCAGCCTCCGTCGCTGTGATGGGCGGACAGCGGGGCCTGTCGTGGCCTGTGGTGCCCCCTCTGTTCTCTGCTGACGAGTGCCCAGCGGGGAGCCCGGCTGGGTGAGCAGAGGCAGGGGAGGGCGGGGCAGAGGGGCCATCACAGGAGGGGCTCACCCCTCTTGTCCAGCAGCTGGGGCGGGGGCTGTATCTCATCCACAGCCACCCCCACTTGCTCAGGCCAGCGCTTCTTGACCCGGGGTCCTTGGGGAGGCCCCGAGGTGTGTGAGGTGTGTCTGTGGGCCTTTCTGGGGAGGAGGCTGGGACTCTGCATCTCCCAGGGGAGCTGGGCTCAACAGGCCTTCCCCCGCCTCAGCCCACACGGGACCCAGACATCCCGCCGCCCTGGTCCCAGGCAGAGGGGAAGCCTGCGCTGCCCTAATGAGGAGAGGAAAATTGTGCCGGGTCTGGAGTGGCTTCTGGGCTGTGGAGCCTTTCGGGGGTGAGCCAATCTTTTCACCCGTCGGAGCCTCAGTTTTCCAATCTGTAGAATGGGGTGATCAGACACGTCTTGTGGGGATGGTGACACAAGTCAAGGAGAGCTTCTCCTCCAGGGACCACACCCGTCCATCTGCCGGGCCCCACAAAACCCGGCTCAGGTCCCCAGGAGAATCTGGCTGCACAAGCGCGGAATAAACGGAGCTTCTCCAAACGCCGCCTGCCGTGTCCTCATTCCCCGGGCAGGCCCGCTCCCCGGGCCCAGCAATCGCCCTCCCTGCCTCCCGGGGCCCCCTCCTATGGGAAGCCCTCCTGGGCTGGTTTAGCCGCCCGATGTTTCTCTCCAGTGCTGTGTCGTCATCGGTCTCCTGTACCCCCCCCCCTCCCCGAGCCCCTGGGGACAGCCCAGGGGAGACCCTGCTGTCTCTCGAGCCCACATAGGGGCTCAGACCTTTGCGTGTCCTTGAGGCCTGGCCGGGTGACGCCTAGCAGCCGCCTTCAGACAAACCCCGTGGAACAAGAGGAGAGGTGCCCAGCCAGGGTGGGCAGGGGCCTGAGCGGGTGCCCTTTTCCGAGGGGCGACACCCGAGCCCTTAGTGAATGTCCCAGGCCCGACCGCTGCCCCAGGACACAGGGGAGCTGGGCCTGAGTTTCCGGGCTCCTCCGTGCTGGTTCACGCTGGCTGGACCGGGGCCAGGTCAGCCCTGTGAGGACTGCCAAGGGCTGCTGACCACACTGCCCCCAACAAGGCTCCAGATGTGGCCATGGATGGCAGCTCTGCATCCAATTCCACAACACAGGTGTCCGGGGATTCGAGGGCTTGCAAACTGGGGGACTGTGTGCAAACCATGGTCCCAGGACTTCCCCACGGTCCCCAGGGCTGGCCCATGCTCCCCAGGGCTGGCCCATGCCCCCAGGGCTGACCCAGAGGCTGTCCATCTGCCAGTGGTGTCGCTCTCTGTGAGAGATGGGCTGCAGCCGCTCCTCTGACCTGGTCATGTGACGGGTCAGTTCCCTGGGCTGTCACTGGTCGCGCATGGCTGGCCTGTGACAGGCCGGGAGGTGCCGCCACATCTCCCTGGTGACCCATCCACGCAGCAATGAGATGCCGCAGGCCCCGCCGGCCCTGAGCTCACCACCTTCCCCAAACCAAGCTCCCTGTGCTGGGCGGGTGGTGGGGCCCCCACATGCCCCTTCCCTCTGCCCACCCACCCAAGACTGGGGACCAGCTACAACTGAGGGTCAGCTCAGCCAACGCGCCCCGTGTGTCTGTCCTCCCAGGACAGTGAGCAATGGCCACCTACGGAGGGCTTCCCACGTGCCCAGCGAGCACTGCCCAAGAACTCAGCCCCACCTCCCTCCACCCCTCCACAGCCACCAGGAGGAAGACACCACTCTCATCCCATTTCACAGATCCAAGCAGACCAGAGAGGTCAGTGCCTGGCCCAAGGCCACACAGCCAGCAGGTGATGGAGCCAAGAGTCTGGGGTGCAGTGGGTGTGTCGGACCCTCACACCCACTGCACCCCAGAGGCTGGTTCAAGTCCTAACCCCACCACCCGTGACCTCTGCCTCCGTCTTCTCATTCCTAAAATTCCTAAAAGGGCCACGCCACCTCCGGAAGGGCGGGGTCGTCGGCTGGATGGTGACGGTGTGTGGGAGAGGCCAGCTCCCTGCAGGCCAGCGTCAGGGAGGGGGCTTTTAAATCCCCTCCTCCCGCTAGACCTCTGTCTGTCTTTCCAGGGTTCAAACGTACTGTTTTCCTCTCGCAGATCTCCCTCTTAATTAACACCCGGGGATTTCGGGGGGAGAGGGGTGGGGGCAGATACAGCCGGCTCACCTCCCCCAGCAGCGCAGCCCCCCACTTCCCCCAGCAGCCCCCCAGCAGCCCCTTAGCCACTCTCGGCTGCTTATCGTTTCCCTCATCAAATTCCTTTTAGGGCGAAGCTGGGGAGGAACGTTAGCTGAGGCTGAGGCTGAGGCTGAGGCCAGGAGAGGGGCAGGCAAAGACGCAGGGACCCCGGGATACCGGCCTCAGGGAGCCCTGCGAGGTCCCCACGGAGGTGTCCGCCAGGCGAATGGAGGGCCCGGGGCAGCGCCTCCTGGGCTGGGTGCTCATGTCACCATCCTCCCCAGACCCTCAGGCTCAGTCAGGGTGAACTGCGGGCGAGTGCGGGGCATGGACACTATGGCATCTTAACCCCCCGCAGCCCAGCGAGGGTGGACCAGACGCCCGTTCCTTCTGTCCTCTGCCTCAGTCTTCCCATCTGAGAAATGGCCCCGCAGCCCCAGACACAACTCCTGGCTCTGGGAGCATTTTGTACACCAGCCGCGGGTCTCCGTCGGAAAGAACTTAAGTTCCCGCCTCCCGCCAACCACCTGCCGGCTCAGAAGCCTGGACGTCTCTGTGGTTCTCGCCCGGCCCAGGGGGGACTGGAGTGGCTCTGGCTTTGTGTCCCGATGGATCGGGAGGGGCTGGGTGTCAGGAAGCCCTCATTTAGGGCAGCGGGAGTGACCCGGAGTTTCACCCCTCCCAGACCAGCTCCTCAGGTCGCCCTGCCAGCGGGCGATGAGGAAAACTCAGGACAGGAGGGAGCAAGGCCCTCCCACCGGCTGCCTCTGCAACGTCCCCCTCCCCCGGAGAAGGAGAGAAGGTGTGCGCGTTGCCCACAGCCAGACCAGCCGGGCCACTGTGGGTTTAACAGGATCTGGAATGTGGACAGAGGGAGGCAGCAGGGAGGTCGCACGCAGCCCTGGGAATCCTGCCCCGAGTGGGGCTCTGCCTCCACCTGCCCACGCATCCCCCCAGCCCAGCCCACAGGGGCCACGGTCCCGGGAAGGGTGGGGCTGCTCCCCTCCTGCTGACCCTACACCCCCGGGGAGAAACAGCGCCCCTGCCCGCTCCCCAGGAAGGGAGCGCCCACTTCCAGGTGTGGCAGTGCTGCTGGACACGCAGGGGTGCGGGGGGCAGGGCAGGGGCCGTGGCTGCAGGAGGGAGTGCAAGGGCACAGAGTGGCTGAGAGGCGAGGGCACGCCCCGGGCATCCCGTGGGGCACAGGGGGTTTCACCGATGTGAGTGTGTGAGAGCAGCCCCGAGGCCGGCCTCCTCCAGGATGGCTCA